CTTGATAGGCTTTCTTGGAAATACATGGCATGCTCATTATTCCACAAAATGTCGATAACGACTCGTATCCACCACCAGTTTCCAATGAGTGATATACAGCCTGTCTATTTACATCAAATGATCTTCCTCGATTGGAGATTGTAGCCGACGTTGCCATAGGTGTAGTGGTGTTGCAAGAGGTACACTCGATAGAAAAACCAGGCATCTATCCAGCCCTCGAAGAAGTATTTTCCCGGAGACAAAGTTCACCTAAAATAAATAATAGTTGTACGTTGTAAGCTGGTGTCCATTCATATTGATGTAGACAATGGTTTTAAAATAAATATTATAATAATAAAACAAAATGTTATCATGGGCATTGTTCAAAAATATCATTCAGACCATTTATATGCCAAGTTTTATGGTGTAAATGCATATAAAATAAAACAATATGTATTCCATACCTTCTTGACATCTGTGAATATTTGATAGTGCTGAAGATAAAATACTTGTGTCGATTACATTAGCCTATAACCAAGGGTGTTCAGTTCGTCATTATTTTCAACTTCGTCATCCGAAATCTCTATGCTATCACTTGTAAGAGCTCTTTCACCAAGTTTTTGTCTGGATGCTCCAAAACAAGTGGAGGTTTGATCAGAATCGTTAGTTGAATCCTGAGAACATGTGCTTGTTGATGGCTGATCGAGGATCGAGGTTGTTATTCTCCTCAGACATTGCCGACTCGTCGCGATTTTTCACCCACGAGCAACTCCAGAGAATGTTTTATTCCTCTTTTTATTATACTTTGTCTTTTGTTTCTTTCCAGGCATTTTTGAAAGCAGATAATTCCGAAATTAGAACGTTTTAAATCTCACAACATATACAAATCAATTTCTTCATCAAATTCTCAATTTTAACGATAAATATGCATAGTTTTTTTGTGAAGCCGCTGCCATATTATAGTTGAATGAGCCTGCTATCTATTTTGCCTATGGGAGGGGTGGGAGTGGAATAATTCGGCGAAAAAAGATGTAAAACAAGACCATGGCACCTTCCGTAACCATGGCAACGTTTTAAAAAATTCTGACAACATGTCTAAACAGAGCTGGTAAACGAAAATTATTGCAAATTTGTTCAAAAAAACATTTCTACAAGAATAACAACATCTTTAGGTATTCATTTTTTTACAAAACAAAAATTCGAGTTTTTCAAGCTGTTTAGGTAAACCCCCACCTTAACAGTTAAAAACCTAAACTAAATCTATTCTTCTTGGAACCATATCTACAACTGCTTTAACGAGATTTCACAAATAAGTTCCTCCAGTATATCATATTTTTCCTTAGTCGAGACGTACTTATTCAGTTTCAGCTTTGAGCATGTAACGTGTACCTCTCCACTCCCCCCCCCCCCAATTTCTCTACGGATTTAGCCTTTCTGAGGGAATGGTTTTTGTTGCGATTGGGGGGAGGGGGGCTCTTAATATAACTTGATATTTTTAAGAAAAAATTTTTGCAATAAAACCTCCTAAAACAAAACACAACGCCTCTGCGGAGGTGAGGGCTAGGAAATAGTCGCAAGGCTTGGAATGGCTGGAATTTTATCGGATTGTTTGCATGAAATCTATCGCTATTATAAATACTTCGTGAAGAGCAATATGAATTACACACAAGATGGCTGTGGAGGAGGCTATGGAAAGACATAATCTCATTATCAAGTAAATCAACTGCAATTCTGACAGCAGTCATGAGCAATTCTGCTTCGCACTTCGGGGGCAGAAATGGCTTTTCTGGGGGGGGGGATTTTTTGCCTGGGGGGATGGCAATTGCCCCCCCCCCAGACATATAGTTAAAAAAGGTACTGTGGTTCGGAATTTCATAACGAATTTCGATAATTTGATGCGAAACTTCCGAACTTGATTGGCCGGTTTCCAATCAACTTGATGATCTCGTGTTTATAGTTCCCAAATTCCCAACCAACCTGGCAACTGGCGCGGCCAAAGTTTCGTGAAATCAACTGTAAAACTCACAAGGGCACTAGATTGGAGGGCGATCTCTGCACCTGGTATCTGCATAGCTTAATTTTATTTCATACTTGAAACTGATGACTATACTACAAGAAGGTATATTCAGTTCAATCAAAAGTCAGTAGTCAGCAAAAATTGTCAATACTATTTTTGCGACAATAGAGAGCAATCGGTAAGGGAGGTCAAAAGAAGCATCTTTCCATTCGAGTGAACAAAGATATTTTAAAAATTTCAGTCCACTTCGACTCTCAGATGATTGGTATCACCGTTGTTGCTGCTGTTGTTTTTGTGATCATAGTGACAGTGGCATGTTTTATTTTCATTCTTCAAAGAAGACGTCGAAAAGCAGGTGAGTTCAAGATCTAATTTGTTCTAATTAAAATATAAATTATTCTAATCTGTCATTATAGAACAAAGTGATTAATTTATAAGAACATTATAGTGTAATTGTGTTAATATCATTCATTATTTTTCTGTTCTAACCTGTTCTAACAAAGTTACAATTGCAAACAGCGATTTCAATGTAAATATTTCAACGGCACTGTTAATTAAATCGATTGATTAATTAGCTGTTAAATCGAAATTAAATATCGCAAAAATTAATTGTCTTTGCTTTGCAAACATCACGTCGAATAACTCAACCGCGCTGGTGAAACAATCAATAAAAAAATTTGAAGGATTCTTGCACGGTGAAGTCGTCTCAACAAAAACCGTAGCCCATTATAGACGCGTTAAAGTTTATCGACTGACTATGTTTCTCTTAATATTTCCAATAATAATTTTGTGAAAAGAAACGGTCAAACTAACAACTGCTGAAATTCTAATCTCCTTTTTGAACTCTCTAGGCTCTCCTGATTGCATCCGCATGGATTTTTTATCACAACATTCCCACGAGACTCAACAGCTAGAAGGCAACAATACTTCAGGAGAAGTTGCGAGTTCAGCACAAGAAACAGGCACTAATAATGCTCAATATCAAAACCTGACAGCTGACGGGAAACCAGTTCCAATCTTCACGCGTGGAGTGGTGCCCTACCAAAGAGATTACATGAACAAAAGGCCCATGCGAATTTTATCGTATGACAGAGTTCAGCTAATTCGACCATTAGCTATAGACTGGCTTCGGAACGCGTGGGGGAATGTTGACGAGTTTGGCCAACACGTTTATGACGTCATGCAACGCGTCCGACATGTTTTTGTCCCCTACGACAAGTGCCTTCTATCACAACGTGACTTGGCCGGAAATAAAGTCGAGACAAGTAATAAAACTTACGGAACAATGGAAAGACCTCCGGCAGTGATATTGCCAACTGGTAGTGAGAATGCGTCGACGTCAGAAAATGTTTGATCCGTCTCCTCAAGATATACTTTTTACAATATTTTTTGTGATTAACTATAGTGCTATAAGGCAAACTAGGAAACATTGTCGCGCAAATTACTTCTGAGTAAATACATTGATTAGTGACCATAGTCTTGTTTATATATGTCGGAAAATTACCATTCCTAAAGAGCCACCAAAAATTGTATTTACACGACAGTTCAAAAATTACAACTCCCACCAATTTAAAGAAGAGCTAAGCTACTATACTAATCTAGATCCCACATCGAATGATCCAAATGTGCTATGGAATGAATTTAAGAACAACTTTCTTACTATTGCTGAAAAACACGCGCCAGTTAGACAGCGTCGCGTTAAGAGTGAGCATAAACCATGGCTGACGAAAGAAATAAAGCGTTTAATGCATCATAGGGATTATCTTAAAAGACAGAGTGTTCGTTTAACATCGAGTAATTATAACGAGGCCTACAAAAGATGCAAGAATAAATTAAATAAGCTTATTAAAAAGACTAAGGAAGAATACTTTAAAACGAAGTTATTTAATGCAAATAATAGCAAAGAGAGTTGGCAGGCTATTAATGAGCTATTAAACAAAAAGCCCAAAACTACCCATGTAACACAGCTAAATGTAGATGACCAAGTTATAACTGGAGACACAAATATTGCGGACTGTTTTAATCGGTATTTTTCATCCATCGGTTGTAAACTGTCGAAAAATGTCCAAAATATTAATGTTGACCCTATGACATTTGTCACTCCTACGGAGAGTTCGTTTCATTTTTCATGTATTTCAGTCCAAGAGACTTTTGACGCCTTAAACCAACTTAATTCAAGGAAATCACCAGGACTGGACGGCATAAGTGTAAAACTATTAAAAGATACAAGCGATGTTATCGCGCAACCATTAGCCAACATCTTTAATCTATCTCTTCAGACTGCAATTTTTCCGGACGAGTGGAAAATCGCCAAGGTATCACCAGTCTTTAAAGAAGGGAATAAAACTGATTGCGGAAATTATAGACCAATCTCTGTAATTTCTGTGGTTGCTAAGCTGTTTGAAGGGCTAGTGTACAATCAATTGAGAACGTTTATTGCCGACAATAGCATTCTTGTAGAGCAACAGTCCGGTTTTCGTTCACAACACTCTACTGAGACGGCACTCTTAGGTTCGACAAATGAGTGGTTATATAACATGGACAGTGGCTTAATCAATGGAGTCCTGTTCTTGGACTTGAAAAAAGCTTTTGACACTGTCGACCATGAAATCTTATTAAAGAAACTTCACCTATACGGCATAAAAGGAACTACTTACGCATGGTTTGAATCTTACATCCAAAATAGGAAATCGATTTGTTTAATGAATGGGAAAAAATCACATGCTAGAGAAATTAGGTGTGGGGTACCACAAGGTTCTAACCTTGGCCCCATCCTATTCCTCTTGTATATTAACGATCTACCTAAGTGTCTAGAAACAACCAAGGCTAACTTGTTTGCTGATGACACAAATCTTTCGTGTGCCGGCTTAGATGCCAATGAAATCGAGACTAAACTTAAAAGAGATCTTGAGAATGTTCATAGTTGGCTTAGATGTAACAAGCTCACGCTAAACGATAGCAAAACGGAATTTATGATAATTGGCTCTAGACATCATCTTACTAAATTTGAAGACAACCCAGAGATTTCATTAGCCATACGAGATAATAATATTAAACGGGTCACCAATAAAAAATCTCTTGGTTTTATCATCGACGATCAATTAAAGTGGGGTATACACATTGACGCACAATGTAAAAAAATCTCAAAAAATATTGCATTGCTACGAAGAGCCAAGTCCTTTGTTCCTTTACACATTCTAATCAAAATGTATAATGCTCTAGTATCTCCTCACCTGACATATTGCTCAACAATATGGAATGATGGATCTAATACCATTCTTAACAAACTCTCTAAGTTACAAAGAAGAGCAGCTCGGGTTATCACAGGACAATCATACGATGTTCGTTCCACTCAAATACTAGAAAGTCTCAATTGGATGCCAATTGAAGACATTTTAAAGAAAAGAGAAATCATTATGACGTTTAAAGCTTTAACTAACAGACTACCTGATTATGTGCAGAATTTCTTCACGAGATGCGAAAATAGTAATTATTCTCTAAGAAGCAATAATGTTAAACTATCTTTGCCTAAACCAAGAACCAACTTTCTTAAAAGAAGTTTCTCTTATAGAGCAGCACAAGGGTGGAACGAATTATCGGATGAAGTAACTAATAACATTCAGGATTTATCTTTACCCAATTTCAAAAGGCGTTTAGCCCTTAAGCTTGCACATGAATAATGTATAATGCATTTCCGAAATTAATGGAGTGTGTAATAATTGTGTGCTGTAATTAACTGTAAATATCCATAGTTAATGTGTGTTTAATACTATATAGCACGGCCCTTTGAAAAACAGACTGTATATATTATACTGAATAGGCTACCGTGTTAAAAGAAATTTTATTAAAGATTAAAGATTAAAGATTAAAGCTTATCAGCAATGTGCATCTTCCAATGCAGGTGTGCTTGAAACCCAGCACGATTAGCTCAGTGCATTTGGATTTAAGGCAATGTGGCCAATGTATTTGGCGTGTACGAGAAGTGTATCTCGCAATTGTATGATTGCTTGTGACCGAGCTCGAGTAGCTACTGAATTTGGCTTTAAGGCAAAGTGGCCAATGAGTTTGGCGTATGGGCGAAAGGCAACTCGCCATTGTATGATTGGTTGTGACCGAGCACGAGTAGCTATTGACTTGGGATTGACAGAATAAAAGGCTCATGTGTTTCGCGTATGCGAGAATTGCATCTCAGAATACATTATTGCTTGAGTGATCGAGCACGATTAGCTATTTAGATTTAAGTCACAGTGGTCAATGTGTTGGGTGTGTAAGAGCAGTGCATCTCGCAATTGTATGAGTGCTGGAGACCGAGCACGAGTAGCTACCAAATTTGGATTTAAGGGAAATTAAGTGTCCAATGTGTTTGCCGTATAAGAGAAGTGCATCTCGCAATTTTATGATTGCTTGTAACCAAGTAAGAGTCGCTACTGACTTAGGATTGAAAGAACAGGCTCAGGTGTTTCGCGTATGAGAGGACTGCATTTTACAATACATGATTGCTTGCGACCAACCATGGTAGCCATTGAATTGGAATTTGGAAATCATTTGTCAATGTCGGCCTCTCGCAGTTGCGGAATTTGTTTAGTGGTCAGCTGCGCATATGTTTGGGCAAGCAGAGAAATGCATCCCCAATAGACCCAATTAATGATTGCTTGTGATTGAGCACGAACAGCGCATAAACCACGCACGGCTTCATTCAAATTGCTCATGTTTGCAAATGCAAGAGGTGCATCTCGCAATACATGATTGCTTGCGACCGAGCGCACAGGGCTTACTGCATTTGGATTGGACAGTCAAGGGCCAATGTTTTGGCGATTCAGAACAGTATACCTTCCTTGCCATACGCGAATCACCCAATTCTTGGGCAATATATGTTTTTCGAGTGTGTATGAAATTACTGATCTTGTGTTTGCGCTCGTTAGCTGGTTTTCGTTTGCATTTCTTGGGTTCTTTCTTTTTTTCTTGGCTGGTGGGGGTCAACTTTCCCAGGCCTTTCTAAAGCTCTTTGTGTTTGACTCTAGCAGTTGTGCCGGGACTGTCGCCCTTTTCTGGTCCTTCCGGGGGGTACTTTGGGGATTTACTTCTATGTTCATCTTTTCTCTCGCCACTCGCTAAACGTCTCTTTTTTTCTTGTCAAACAGTTGTTGTGCCTGAATGGGAACCTGTTGATACGGCTGTTTTTTGTTCCGTTAGCAGCTTCTGAGCGTCTTAAGAAGCGAGTCATTGGGTGGAAATTTCTCCCGGGGACCAGACCTGTGGCATCAGTTCCGGGTTATTCTCTGCGTTCATTGTCGCTTGACCATGCTAGTCCACCTATCGCTTTTCACTTGCATTTTTTTTTATACTGTCCATTGCCGGTTTCTTTGCTTAATAGATTATAGTTTGGTTTGTGTGTGTGGCACAGGTGAATCGGCGGTGTTGTAGGGTATTTGGGAATGGGGGTTTGGTATATGAGAATGGGGGTTTGGTATATGAGAATGGGGGTTTGGGTATATGAGAATGGGGGTTTGGTATATGAGAATGGGGGTTTGGGTATATGAGAATGGGGGTTTGGGTATATGGAGGGAGATGTAGTGTTGGGAGCGAGTAGTAACTGAACTGCGGAGGAATTAATTTCCGTGCTTCATTTGGAAACAATGGACCTTCCTTTTCCCCAATGCTTAATCAGTGATCCGTGGCGGAATGGCAATTTGGATATTTCACTATTCAAATTGGCCAAACGCGTCACAGAAGCTGATTAACTAATGGAATTTGAGTAATTAACGTTGTTTTATGAATAAATAATGATGTACAATGCATAAAACTCTAGTTTACAGGTTGTAACTGCTCTTTCTGCGCTGATCGCCAAGACAGAGAAAGTGCAAGATAAAGAAATTAGGACCGGGGAGGGGGGGGGGGCGAGAAGGAGGGGGCTGCTTGTTTTTACTCTTGTGTGTTGTATAAACGCCCACCCTCCCGCCCTTCTGTTTCCCATCCTTGTGGCTTTCTGCTGCGGATCCATTTCCGTGTTTCATTTGGAAACAATGGAACTTCCTTTTCCCCAATGCTTAATCAGTGATCCGTGGCGGAATGGCCATTTGGATATTTCACTATTCAATAAACATACTTACCCAACTAATGACGTCACACGTTGTGCTGAAGCAGCAATTTATATTTTGCACATTTTTGCGTATAACTTCGGACAAGATGAGATAGAATAGAGCATTAAACGGCCAATCGGCTTATTTTTTCATGCTCTTTCAGATGAAGCAATAAAAGTTTTTGTTGTTCATACCCTTTAAGATCTATCTTTGACAAGAACAAATCTTTCAAACTTAAATACGGGAAGATCAGAAGCGATATTGCCCAAATATCTTATGCATGCAGAAAAAACAGAAGTGGAAGAAAGGACAAGAAAAGAAAGCGATCTAACAGCTAGGTGATATAATTTCCACACATAACTTTCAATAAGTAATGAGCACTTTGCAAATATACAATATTAATTCCTAACTTCCGAGCTATAACAAGTATACTTACTGTTGAACCGGGTCCGATAAGACGGTACAGACGATAAATATTTCTTTCCATCTAGAAGAAAAGTATCGTACAAACAAGATTTAATTTATAAACCTACGTTTCACGAACGTGATTAAAAATAACAAACTATACCAGGACCAATTGCATATAAAAAGGAAAAACGTTCATCAAAGCCTTAGGGGTGGATAGTGCCAAGCTTGGATATGAAGCGCATTTCATGGGTTCCAATTTTCATATCTGAAACACTGTGATTGCCACTATTAAAATGTCTGGAAACAGGCTGGTTAGCATGCACTGATAGTCCTTCCACATTGACAGTACTTCTATTCCTTATCTTATTCAATACTTGTATCGTATATGTCTTTCTGTATTTGTTGTATTTGTTATTAATATATTCTATAATGCGATATACATTTTTATATATGTTGGCTGGTTCGAAGTTGCGCAATCCCCATGCCCTTCCTTCAGGAGTCTGGGACTGCACACAGGCTATAATTTCTTCGCCTATTTTATTTTAGCAAAATCTTAAAATGAAAAGTGGAGTAATTTTTTTGGAGATCGTATTGCAGCACTTGAACTGATTATAGACAAAAGCAGTAAATGTTTGATGAACGTTTCAAAACGTTTCCCGGAGAGTCGAAGCTTGACTAAATTATTAATTATTTGTTATTCTATTAATTATTTGTCCTTAAATTTTGTAAAAAAAATACGAAAAATTATCGTATATTAGCACGACAACTCATGTTACTTGACGCATCATACGGCTGTAACCGAAATATGCAACTATCGGCCCTCTGGCAGGAATCGAATATCCGGCCACGCGATTTTAGTGCGGTGCTCTAACTAAATGAGCTCAGAGCCAAGTTAGCGAGCATTAGCCACAAGTTCATGTATATTAATGGCAGGCACAAAGATTCTGTACGTACTTCAGTTTCTCAGAGACCGACACCGGAATCGCAGATCTGCAGGTTCGAGTTCCGCCAGAATGGCGATAGTGGTATTTTCACAACTCTTTGTGGTTAGGCTACTGGCTAAAGAAAACTATTCAAAATCAATAGCCAGAATAATCTACTCTACAAGTTATTTTAAGAATATGCAAGCGCCGGAGTTGCTCATATCTTTAAGAGAGGATGTCCACAAAAATCAAACATAAGGCGGCCACGACTGAAAAATCGATTTTGCTCAAATTTTGCCCAGATATACCTTATTATATCGGAAAATGGACGATATATTTTTTTAGGTCAAATGCTTTTTTAACATTGAGAAAATGGCGTTTTAACACGACCACCCTAAATCGCCATTTTGTCTGGGAAAATATGCGCTGATTTTACCGACAAATTTCACGACGACAACCGTTTCTAATCGATCTAAAACCCTAAAAGTCTTCTTTTCGATTATTCAAAGGATCGGGTACGTGACTTACAGTAAATCTGAGTTACTTTCAGGAATAGAAATAATCGTAGTTTTGGAGCACACTATCATATTTCATTTACGATACCCTCTTAACAAAACCGATTTTCACTATGGGATAAAGCTCCAAATCGATCATGCTTCTACTAGTTGGCTCTTTAATAAACAAACTTTTAATTG